GAGAGAGAGAGAGAGAGAGAGAGAGAGAGAGAGAGAGAGAGAGAGAGAGAGAGAGAGAGAGAGAGAGAGAGAGAGAGAAATCAGACTGTACTCCAAACTTGCTTGTAACATGCACACACGCAGGAACTGATGGTGAAATGCTTGCTCAGACTCAGAATCAACAATGAGCTTGCACTTAAAACTTGGTTCAAGTCAACTGTACAACTTGTGGCCATGGCCGCAGAACACATTCTCCACCACTAGCCTCGCTCTCCCTCGTGTACACATGTCCAAGGATCCGCCCTGAATGTCCACGCTATACACACAACAGCTTGGCGGCTATGGCCGCCGTCGTCTTCCTCCTCCTAGCTATGGCTGTCTTCGTCTTCCTCACTGCCCACTTCAGCTCAGGGTACCTGCATACCTCCATGCACAAGTCACCAAGGCAGCGCTTCCGCATGGCTCACAAGCGAATGAGTGAATGGCTGGACGCTGCCTCTTTAATATTACTGCTTCGGAGGTGGCTTGGCCTGGCTCCAAACCGCGTGGGCCTGGGCCCCAAACTGTGTAGGCCTCGGCCCCAAACCGCGTGAGGGCCTCGGCCTCCAAACCACGTGAGGCCCGGAAGCCTCCAGACGCGTGGGCCTACTTGGCCGAAACACGTGGGACAAACCATGTGGGACCCTCACCACTTGCCTGGTACTTGCTGACTGGACGCAACTGAGACGGCCCTGGGACATTCTAGAACCTACAGACTTGACCTTTCACTGCGGCTAAAGCTACGGACTGACTGGCCCTTGGACCTGCGTAGAGATAGGTAGAGAGTTCCAGAAGACCCTAACTAAGCCTATCGGTAACATACTAACCTACTAACACAGAGATCTATGGATCAAATCCTAACAGCTAGCAGACAGACCTACTAACTAACCTACAGGTTTAGGGACAGGTCACGGGTTCGAATCTCACTCAGCATGCAGGGTCAATGTACAGGGTTTAGGGACAGGTCTAGGGATCGAATCCTAAGGTCTGCAGATGTCGGGTCAACTGGGTGAAACCGTTTCAGAGAGAGAGAGAGAGCGAGCGAG